TACTTTTTAGCACGCCCATGGAAAAACCCGCCCCATATGATGGGGGCTTTGGCGGGCCCCGTCCCACCCCGCCGGTGTTCTTCCCCTCTTATGATATACAATTGAATTACAGGAGTACAGAGTAACAGAATCACTGATCACTAGTGGATAGAAATTAGCAACCTAATAAATCTGGTTATGTTCTTAAATTTGCCTAGGATTCTTCTATACTCAATGATTTTCTTCATTAAATTTGGAAGACTGGGCTGAGGCTGCAAGTCAATGCCACAAAAATCTTATCATCAATACAAACTGGAGAGTTTTGAGTGAACAATTCAGGAAATTGGCATTAGATGATTCAGATTTGGTCATTAGAACATATTATTATTATGCACTACAAAAGATACAACCATCATTTTGTATAGCTTTATGTTCATTGATTTGAGAAAGAAAGACATATATACATTCTACTAAACTATACAAGGAATTTACATTTAGCGTTGCAATTCCAGAAACTGACGATTTTGCCCACCCGGATCTGTAGGCTCAGCTCATTTTCAGCCATCTCTGTCCGGGTCAACCCACCGCCGGCGATGTTTCAACGCCGTAACAAGTTCCGGTCAACGGCAAACTACTCCGTTGTGTTGTTTTATAGCGGCTGGAAACGCCGCGCCTCGTTAACCCTGTCCCCAACAGTTGAAGTACATGACTTGCCTGAGCGAGTCATCGGCCTGCCTAATCCGCTCCTCTCCGCTCCCGCTTCCGACGAACCCTCCAAGATCGGAGCCGGAAAGAGGCCGGAGATCGGATGCGGAAGATGAAGAAGAAGAAGAAGAAGAAGAAGAAAAGCATTTTTTGGTTTGCTGAAGGGATCTGAGGCCAGACTTCAGTTTCTGACCTTGATCGGAGTGGTTATTAACGAAGGCGACACCCGCCGCCACCCAAACACGGTTCAAACTCATATTGTTCTGGTTTTTTTTTTCTTTTCCTTTAAGCCTTGTTCTACAAATTTCAAGGATTGTTCCGATTCGAAGCAGTAGAGATCACCCAGTCGGAGCTGTTGAGAATGGCGGAAGTGGTGAGCGAATTTATAGAAGGACCAACACAGGAAACAGGAAATCCGGAAACCAGAAACCGGGGGCGGTTTTGAGAGATGACTGGCGCGTGGTGCCAAACTATGGGGCACGTTTGGAGTTGTCGATTGTGTACAAACACAGAAAAGATTCGTTTCTCGTCATATTCTCACGGTATTTTGGATTTTTTCGACTATTTTCTCTTTTTGCGAGAAAAATTGACACCTTTGCCTGGACCTTGGATAAAAAAGTGCGGGACAGGTGGCATGCTTATCCGAACGGGCATTCCATGAGTCATCACATCTAAGCAAACAGGTTCCTACCCTCACTGGGTCCCACACTCCACTACGAGCATACCCTTCATTCATTCAATAATTACCGTTTTGCCTGTCGGTTTCCCTGGGTCCTTTGTCGTTATATGCGCTGTGGACCCCACGTCACGTGGGAATCTGTTCGTCTTCACGTGAACGAGTCAACACTGGCGGAGCATGACCCGGGCAATGACTCACCTACTTTACCTGAAATAATTAATTTAAATTTAATGTAATTATCACAATTTAAAAATGATTATATACAAAGATTTTTTTTTTTTTATATGACAACAAAAACTCCAGTTGTTAATACAAAAACATGTATGAGATTCTGATAGGATCATACTAGTACTAATGCACTAAATTTTATGAGAATTCGAAATTAACGTGTGATTCTGTTCAATGTTATTTCGATCAAATCTCTAGTACAAGATGTTTTTAATACAAATTGTCTTATTTTTTGGTGTAATTTATATATTATTAGACAAAAGTAATGTTTATTTAGTGTATAAATTTAAGTTATCACAACTGATTTTATCATCACAACATGTACGGGCTTAACTCAATTATTGCAGTATTTAGAAGAAGAGATCAATGTTTAAATCTTAGTGGTGGTAGTGTAGGAATTATGTTTAAAGTGGACAAATTCTTCTTTGTGCACACCGACATTTGGTCATACCTGTCGGGTCATTGAGTCATCAAAATTTATATTCTCTCAAATGTTATGTCGAACCGCCAAAGCTGGGGTATGGGCTGTCTTTGGAGATATGGATTCAACATTTTAGAAGAAGAGATTTCTTGTCAGATGTAATAATGTTATTTTTCATTTTATAAAAAAAATGTTTAAATTCCTAATCAGCTTTTTTAAGTAATGGAAAACATAATTATTAAAGAAACCATGATGGCTGATTGAATGGGACCTTACACTATTGTATTCATCGTGGATACATCTTCTGAAAACGACCTTTCTCTCTCTCTCTCATTTATTACCTTTTTTATTAAATAAATTAAGTTAGTACAGATATGATCTAATTACCAAATCTAATTATAATAAGGTATATTGAGATCCTGCAATTAAGAGATGAGATCAATTAATTTAATGAAAATGAAAACAACCACACTTAATTAATTTAATGAAAACAACCACAAAAAACCAGACCACTTTCTCATTTCCAACTAATACATCAGTTTATTTAGTTCCAATTAATGAAATTACTTTCTTAATTTTATCGAAATTATTAAATTAATTGTCTTATCATTAAAACTATCATATAAGTCGCCAATTCTGAGCAAAGGCAGCAGCTAGCAAATGATTAGTTTTCATCAAAAGTTCTTAGACACGTAGACATTGTATATGTAGATATGTACATCCAAATGAAATTACTTACTATGTTGTCCATCCATTTTCTCGTGAGAAGCATCTACACATACTATTAATCACACAATTTATTTCAACTTTATTGCTCAATAATAATAATAATAATAATAATAATAATAATAATAATAATAATAATGAAAAGGGTCAATTAGGTCCCTAAACTTTTAAAAGTGTAATTATACTCTTTAACATGTTATATTGAGATAATGAAGTTCAAGAACCGGTAAATGACCTGCTATTGCATGTCATTTGGTTCCGGTATTTCCCCCGACAAAAATCCGGTGACTAGCGACGGTTTAACCAATGCTGGTCGTCGGATTTTCATCGGAGATAATACAGAATCCGAAATGACCTGTAATAGCAGGTCATTTATCAGTTCTTGGACTTCATTGGCTCAATATGACATGTTAAAGGGTGTATTTACACTTTTTAAAAGTTTAAGAACCTAATTAACTTTTAGGGAGCGTTTGGTTCACGGAATCTTGGATTACCCCAAGTAATAGGATTACCTCCAAGAAGGTAATGTGAGATTTTGGGAATATAAGATTACCTTATATGTGTTTGGTTTGGCGTGTGGAATATAATATTACCTTTTTTGTAAAACCAATTACCTAATTATATAAGGATTATTATAATTAGGTAATCATTTATTATTATTGGTTTTGGGGTTTTTTGGGCTAGGGAGGTCCAACACAACCGTGATTGGTCGATTCACCGTTCACAATGCGGCTTATAGAAAAATAAGTAGAAAAAATATAACTCAATGCTTTTGTACGTGAAAACCGAAAGGAAAATCACAGGCCTTTTTGGAGGTGTCTTTGTACATATAGTAGGGCTATTTTGTGTATATGATGTTGTGAAGAAATAGAGCTACTATACTTTGTAAATTGAGAGGGAGTCTTCTTCATGCGTGGAAGAGTGGTGGAGCCTTCTCATATGGAGTCTTCTTCATGTGGTCTTCTTGCTTAGATGAGTGGAGAGTGGTTGTGGAAGAGTGCATTCTCTTTGGTAGAGTGATGGAGTCTTCTTGAGGATGAAAGAATAGTGAGTGGTAGGATAGTACTTGGGAGAGTCCTCCCACATGTAGATGAATGATTGGAATCCCCCTCCTTGTGCTCTTCTTCTCCTTTTTATAGCCAGCCCATCCTAAAAGTGTCTGTTGGACCATTTAGTAGGGTATTGATGGGTGATAATTAGGGGGTTATGGGTATTAAGTTGGTTGATAAAGAGGCTAACGGCTAGTTAGTAAGTAGGGTAATAATTAGGTAATAATAGGGTAGTAAATAGGTTTCATGGATGATAATGTAAGAATAACGGCTAGTTTAGGCCGACCTTCTACTTGTGCCGACTTCCGGGTCGAGCCGACCCCGGGTTGAGCCGACTCCTCGGTTTGGCTCGTATCTTTTTTGGGCTTACTCCATTTTCTCTTGGGCTTCTCTTTTCTTCTTGGGCTTGATTTCTTTTCTTCTTGGGCCCCGAGCCCACGGGGTTCACACCCCATCAATTATTATTATTATTATTATTATTATTATTATTATTATTATTATTATTATAAGGAATAGTTAACAATGACAATGTTGGAATAAATCAAGGTAATCTAAGATTACCTAAGAAAATGAGGGTAATCACATTACCTTAAAACATTCCCGCCACATCAGCTTTCAAGTAATATAACATTACCTGGTAATCTCATAACTTGAATCAAACAAAGTCATACAACATTACCAGACTCAGATTACCTAGGTAATCTCAGATGACCTGAACCAAACACCCCTTAAGGTAAAGTTTAGAGGTTTATTTGACCATTTTTAATAATAATAATAATAATAATAATAATAATAATAATAATAATAATAATAATAATAATAATAATAATAATAATCGTTGGTAAAAATTATACCAATTCAATATGCCTTAACAAGAGTTATGTATGAACAATTGGGAGAATAGTTAAATGGAAAGAATAGGAAGAAAGAATAGGAAATAATACGTATATGGGTAGTTCAATTAGTTATTGGGTGAAAAATTGTGAATTAAAACGGAAAATAATAATCAATAAAATATGATGAGAAAGTAAGGATAATGATATATTGATAACAAAAATATGAAATTATGAATTATTACAAATGCTGAACAATGAAGACCAATTTAATTATCAGAATACCCATTAAGTAATTTTATTATAATTATGGGACGAAAAATATAAATTTCATTTTAGTCAATAAGTACTTGTCAAATGGTATCAATTATCAAACCATGGAAAGAAAAGCAGCATAATAGCTTATCATTGAAGAAGGGTGCCCACCTACACCTTTAACTAGAGTAAATATTGCCACTTGGCCCTTATAAAGTATAATATTGTTCACCAAATATCAGAAAGAGACTTCACTTTTTTGACAAAAATAAACCATTCCTCTACTGTGAATGTATAATCCTTACCTTATACAAAAATGGAGGACAAAATCATACAATGTTAATCAGTAGCAATGATACCATGACAACAAAAGCTCCCTTCAACATCAAATCCAGATTGGCTTCAAACATGGAATCACTTTAAATGTTCATAGTTGTGCCAGAGAAATGATGCAAAGTTATATATACACCTTAAAGGCATGCATTAGACTGGTTCTGATATCATGTTAAGGGATGGCTTTCTCTGCCAAAGCAAAATAAGCTTTGTATACATTTCCAGTAGAAATCATCCCATCATCAACCTGTTGTCGAGCTAGATATCTTTCCCTCCTTTCTTTCTGCAATGGAAAGACAATTTCTTGAAGATCAAATGATGAAGCTCTTTGTTGAGCAGAGCATATATATAATATATAAACATAAATGCGCAATCCAACTATAAGCTCAGACTTTTAGTTGGTATCAGATCCAACCCAATGCCAAAGGCCATGACTTACCCATTCATCTATAACATGACCTTCTCCAACTATTTTGGGACCATTGTCTTGTGGTGGCTTTTTGCGTGCTTCAAGCTCCGCCTCTGCCTCAGCCAGTTGATGATTAAGTTTCTCTAATGCCTTGAAAGATGCACACATAAGGTTAGAAAAATGCAACATATATAGAACAGATTACGGGAGCAAATGGCAGAGTATAAATATATTCTCGACTTCTCCAGAAAAATTAACGAAGAAACCTACTTACAGGGCAAGGATGCTCTGCGTCAAGGAAGATTACTCTTAGTATCTGTTCAACTGCTACCTCATCCTTTTGTTCATCAAACTGCGTAAAATGGATGGTTAACTAAAATGTCAATATGTACATTGTTTTATCAATTATATGCATTTTTTGTAAGCAGACCAAAGAAATTTGGGCATTGAAATCAATATAATTACATGAACTACACGCTAGAAATCATTGAATTTTCTTTACACATCCACCCCCCATTATGTCTGTAAGTGAATTAAGGGGTTAAATCGAGTGCACATGGCTCTTGTGTGAACGCACTAGACAGCTGTTTCGTAATTATAACCATGATTACGCATAAACAATATAGGATCACATTATTTACCAGCTCTGCAGCGTAGTCCATATCCCCTTTTACTTTTAGGCTCATGATCTTGAACTTCACGCTGCTCTTCATACCAACTGGTTTCTCATTATTCTCAGGAGGCTCCACAAATTTGAAAACTGTAAATAATCAATCCGTCGAAATCATGAAATGCAGCACAGTACAAGACTACCCATTTTGGTGAGCAAAGTCAAAAAACGCTCTATACATAGAAAAGGAAAGAGAACAACGATGTCAGTACCTGTAGCAATAATACTTTCATCGGGAGCAAGTATACCCCCTGGTGGACGCATGTAACAACTTTTTGGTGCAGTCGTTTGGAACTTGAATTGAACGAAAAAAAAAAAAAAAAAAAGAAGCGTTTATACACAATAGTGATCAGTTTTATTGTATGCATACATAAGAGGATTAAAGCAAAAATTGCAGCAGTAAAGAATGAAAGTGGGAAAAGGAAAATATAGGATCATATATTCGTATTGCATAGCATATTAGCCAGAAGGTACGCACTACGCTAGAATTGATTGGATAAATTCGCTAAGTTCACCAATCACCATTAGCTGGAACGCACTGGAACTTTTTCAGGATAGAACAATCAATCTTTTTTGTTTAATTAGGACCAGTCATGGAGCATTATGTGGAGACTGCATAAATCCATTGAATTTAACAATACCACTATAACACCAAATATGATAAATTGCTGGGCACAACTTCAACATCCTGCACTAGCTGAGTCCACAAAATCATTATTGTTGTCCACTGGGCACCACTCATTATCTTTAATTTTTATATCAGAAGCAACAAAAACCACAGGTTGATGGTTTTTTTCTTTCTCCAACCAATGCTAATAAACGAAAAAGTTTTGCCATAAATGGGCCTATGCTATTAAATCATGTGATCTATTTCAATTACTTTATCATTCCTTCCCAAAGCAGACAATTCTTTAGCAAATCAGACAAGTAGTGTTTAGCCACAAAACACAAGATAAAACAAATGTGACCACTAAACTGGAATTACCCAAAGTATGATGAAAAACAATGCCTTAAGTTTTTCTCATACCTTAAAGGCAACATGAGCCTTGGTGACATTCTTGATTTTGATTGCACTCCTGACTTGTTTCCCAGGTTCATCTTCATAAGGTCATGTTTGCAAAAGAGATTAATATAATATAGTCCAGAGGGTTTAAGAATGACATAATAATCTATGTGGGGCATTTTAGTCTAAAACACAAAACTGGGTTAAGGGTGTATCTACAGTGGGAAGAAGAGGAATTTGAGAATTAAGACAGATCAAACTAACTAACATACAAAAGAAAAAAAAAAGTATGAATTGGGAAATAAAGTGCAAAACTTACAGGGAAAATAGAGCTTGTTGGAGGGATCAAGACTGAGCCTGCGACGAGTGGGAAGAAAAGACTTGATGCTCATGGAAGAGACTTTAGAAGTGGCGGTGTTGTGAAGAATACTGGGCTGATGATCACCTGCCAAGACATTATCGTGCTGCTTCCTGAAAGAAGAAGAAGAAGAAGAAGCTGCAGAATTGGTTGAATGCCAAAATGGCAGTTTGTATAGAGTCCAAACTTTTCCCTCCGGCACCAATTTCTCGCTTGCAACTGCCATGTTTTTTTTTTTCTCCGATCCGTCAAAGTGGTTTTCTCGGCTGTTTGTTCGTTTTTTGTAAGCGTGGGTGGGGGTTCTTAAATGCAGCAATTGGATCCTGTCTGTACATTGGTGGTAACTGGTAATGGAATGAATTTTGTTTTTTTGTTTTTTTTTTTTTTTTCTTTTCTCTCTCCCTAATGCATTCCAATCAAATTTGTATAGTATGGCTTCTTCTTTTCTATTTTTATTATTGCTGAGGTTTAAAGGGGTGAAGGTTGACAATGACTCTTCCTTCACTATAATATGAAATTAAAATTAGGATGTGAGGATAATTCACAAGACCCAAATCGTCACTTTTAGATGCAATATAACGACTTCTTGATTAAGATTAATTAATATTGCAAATTGAATCACCACTCATCATACATTTTTACAAAAAAGCGCAAGTTAAATCCACTGCTCACTATGATCATGGCTAATTTGTATACTTTTAGTTTAAACTTTGGGAGATGTTTAACTTTTGTTGTTTTTAAAAGCTGTGAGAGGCGTTCAACCTTTGTTATTGGCAGTATTTAACTTAGATTAATGCAATATTTTCTTTAGGAATTCCTTATTTTGTGTGTATTAAAACAAATGCATGCGTCAAGCACCTTGTGCTCAGATGGCAGGTAATGACCTCTCCCAATGTAGGAAGTCATGAGATTGAGCTTTAGTGGAGGCGACGTTGACTCTTTGTGCTTCATTAAGTCTATGTAATAGAGTCAGTAACATCCAAAAAAAAAAAAAAAAAATAGGGTTTCGTTCCGACTAAGTGTATGGGGTCAACCCAACCCCCTAGCCCAGGTCAAAAGACCTCGAGCCAAACCCTGAAGTTGGCATTGGACAGAGAACAGCAACAACAATTTCCGTTTGTTATTTTTAAATTTTTTTAAAAAAATTATTTAATTTTCATTTATGTCAAGTCACCAACCGATCAAATGTCAAATCATTGTCGCATTAAAAAAAACACATATGGAAGTCTAGGTAACACCGAAATCGATAATAACTTGTTGAATAAGTCAAATTAAGACTCAATTACACCTTTTTTTTTTTTATTACTTCAATGGGTTTAAATGACGTATTTTTTAGTTAGAAAGTTTAACTACACTATTTTTATGAATTTAAAAGACTTACTTACTTGATACTTTTTTCTATAAATGATAAATGAAGGAATTTAATTTGGTGATAGGTGGAATTAAAATGAAAATGATGTAAATAAGAAAAGACCAAGATGAGACTTCATTCTTGATAGAGAATATACGAGCATGATCGAGTTAATCAGTACAAGATCGGTCGAAACTGATCATCTCCGGCGTTGTTAAACTCATCTCCCGACCAGCGTTCCTGATATGAATAAGAGCTCGGTAGACTCCGTGTCAACTCGTGATGTATCAACTGTTCCCGATTAGATTTGACTAGGAAGCCCATTAACATGACCGATCGCTAAGCTTTTTTCTCCACAATCACCTCAAAGGTACTCCCCATGCAGAACGATTAGATCGTATCACATTCCAGTCTCATCTAAACACTTGGCATGATAATTATGATCGCCCAACCTACATCCAAAATGTGTGAGACATGCTGATAGCCCGATATGTATGTCCACCCCGTCTCACCTATAAAAGGCACATTAATTACTAGTAAGAGAGACTTTAGATATTTTCCCACTTTAGACACTCTAGGTTACCTCGTTTTTGTTTACCGACCTCAAAACTAACTAGGGTGATCACATTGGTCTAGTTTCAAACGCCACAAGCTACAGAACTACTAATATGTCCGTACCCCCAACATTTGACACATCAATTATGAATTCCCCCATTTGCATCTGGTTTGAATTTTAGTTATATAAAAGATTTAGCGAGTACTTTATCTTATCTGCCCTTGAATTCTTTTTTGTTAAATGATATGTGAATGAGTGAATTGAGTTGTTCAAGCTTTAGCTAAACATGTTTTTTCTTTGGTTGATGGTAAGGAATGATTTTCCATTCCCCCTCTGTTTATTTTTGATATTCTCAGTTGGTAACTTGGTATATGAATTAATGAATGCCTTTCTTCAAAGGAAAAAAAAAAAAAAAAAAAAAAAAAAAAGAGCTTTCTCCATAATAGCTTTCTCCATAAAAAGGCCGGATAAGTGTCACGCCTAAAGACTAAAGTATGTGATTAGATATAGATAATAGATGTGCCAAAATTCTATACTTTTTTGTTTCAAAAGAAGGAATTATATTATTCTCAGACACTACAGTCTACGGGGTACAACAAATGGCCATTTGTTTATTCCAAGATACTCCCCAATCCAGATGATCTCTCTCTTTCCCCATATATGCCCCTCCTGTAATTTTCACCATTTATTATCATCACTGTAATAATATAGAGTAATTGCAATAAAGAAATTCTATTTTTTTAAAAAGAGTATCAATCCGTCCACGTAAAATTTGACAACAAACTAGTTCACTGTATTTTTATTTGCTATACTCGATAAAAAGAATTAGAATCATTATTAAGTGGCGACCGATTTGAAAAGGCATCATGGCGCACACCCTTTTTGACAATGCACTATGCTAAAATTATTGTTCGGTTTAAATACCCAACTCTAAAAAGACAATATACTCCGTATTTTTACCTAGGTCACTCTTCCCACTAAAATTTAAATTTGTGATCTCTAATTTAAAAAAGTCACAGTTATACAATTTGATCAAAATATCTTTGGAAATTTTTATAATTTCTATTGTGTGTTACAGCATTTTATGACAAATTTTGTCGTACAACCGTGTACACCATGCATGGTGTACACTGTTGCAAAATGATGTCGTGCCATTAAAAAAAAAAATCATTTTTCGTTGTCGTTAATGGCGTTAGGCGGTTTTCTTTCGCATTCAAACATTCGATTCTCTCTTCGCAATTGCACAATTTAGAAATTATGAATATACTGTATAGAAATTATGAATCTACAGTATTAGATTTGTGAACATGTGATAGAACTATATGTTCATAATTTTATAAATATATGTTCATAATTATAGAGCTATATGTTCATAATTTTCGATGTTCATATTCCCAATTGTTGAACTCTGTATTCACAAATCACAGAACTATATGTTCATAATTTGATAACTATATAGTTTAGAAATTATGAATCTACAGTACATATATTATGAATCTGCAGTATAGAAATTATGAATCTACTGTATAGAAATTATGAATCTATTGTATTTAAATTATGAATTTACGGTTTAAAAATTATGAATCTACAATATAAATTTTATGAATTTACAGTATAGAAATTATGAATCTACAGTATAGATTGGAACCGTGCGCACTTTACATGGTGTACACAGTTACACAACATAACGTTCCCATTTTTATCTTCTTCTGGTTGTAAAAAAAAAAAAAAAAAAAAAAAAAAAAAAAAAAACCCTCGGTTTTCCAATAAACATATTGGGATGAGGCCCAAATACACCTATCCAATACTAACCAATCGTTATATCCTACACCACGGCGCATATAGCACTGTGCGCCGCGCGCCTCCCAAAACAACGTCGTTTTGGGATAGTGTTGGGAGGCGCGGTAGGAAGTTGCTGAGATTATGTGTATTTGTTTACAACATTATGTGTATTTGTTCACAACGTTATGTGTATTGGTTCATACAGTTATGTGTATTTTTTATACAATTATGTACATTCTTTTTATACAATTATGTACATCCGAATCAGAAAATTTGTGTGTATTATGTTAAGAGTTGATGTGTATTATGTTAAAAGTTTATGTTTATTATGTATTATGTTAGATTATGTGTATTATTTTTTAAAAAGAGTATGTATATTTTGTTATATAATTATGTACATTCATGTATAACATTATGTGTATTCTAGTATAAAATTATGTACATTCTTGAACAGCGGTTTTTTTTTTTTAAAAAAAAAACTACTGCCATTCACTGGGGCGGGAAATTTCAAAAAAAAAAAAAAAATTAAAACGACGTCATTTTGCATCTGGGCGCATAGTGCAACGCGCGCTGTGGTATAAGATATAAATTGCCAATACTAACAAATTGGGCTGAATCGAAACCTGCAATTCTTAAGCATTATGGGTCCGACAAAACTGCTAAACCCAAAAGGAACATTACGGGAGAAGATTGATGTCTGTTCAAAAAATATGTTAACCTTCATTGCACTTCTACTTGATACTTTTATTATATAAAATAACAATTATGTCATCAAATCACAATGTAGGTACGGCGAATTGTTTATATTTTATTGAACGTGAGTTGACATAACATTGATGATATGATATATTATACGATGAGATGGTAAATATACATCTACATTAGTCCTTTTTTCATCTCGAATAGAGTATTACAATCTAGGCACTAACACTTAGTATAGGTATATACTAACTTCTGACATATCCTTATTCATGCAAGTTTATCTTACTTTTAAAAGTGGAGTCTACTCGCACATTATCAAATTTGCAATTATCTCATTATTTTCTTTACATCCATACAATTTCAATTCACTTTCAAATTAAATAACAGTTGCGGGAGAGAAGCAGGTAATTCCAACCGGAGTAATAGCTCCAGGGACAAGCATAATCATTCCAGATGGTTACCTCCTCAGCGGGGCTTCTTGAAACTTAATGTTGATGCAGCAATGGGCAGAGCCCGGGCGAAGATGGGCTTTGGCTATATCCTTAGAGACGAGTATGGTACCTTTATTGTAACCAAAGGTTCTAAAAGGTCTTATGCTTACTTACCAAGAGAGACTTAAGCAGATGCTAATAGAGAAGTATTGAGCTGGCTCAAGGAGAGGAACCTCAGCAAAGTTCAGGTGGAATCAGATTCCCTCCAAGTGATCCAACCTCTAAACTAAACCAGCAGAGAGTCTTCTTTTATTTTAATTATTAGGATAAACAACAATTGAGTGAACTATCTCATGTGTTTATCACTTTTGTCAAACGATCAGTGAACCAGGCTGCGTATTTGATAGCGAGGTAATCTGTTTACATGTGTCTGATTGCTCGAAGTGGTCTTCCAATCCTCATCCCATCATTTGTAATGCTTTGTTTTCAGACTTAATATAATGGCAAATATATATATATATATATATATATATATATATATATATATATATATCACAAAGGTAGGACCCTCCATTAATGTGGATGCAACAAGGACACCAACACTGTCATGTGATTACAATGGAAAGATTCCATTCATTTTTCAAGAGAGAGGGTTACTTAAGGGCACATTTATAGTATATAACTTTGCCATATTAAGTTAGTGTAGTTTTTTTAAAACAATACTCAAATATAATTTTAGACCATTTGTAATTTCTTTTTAAACCTAATACATTTCTTATAAAAAAAACCAATGAGTACATTAAGAACAATAAATATTTAACGAAATATTTCGTTACTAAAGTTTATATTAACCGAATGCGAAGTTATTTAATAGAAGAAAATAATATAATAGATGGTAAAGTAAAAAAATAAAAAAAAAATACTAAAATCAATATAATCTGAACTATTCATTTCATCAAATAATTGGAGGCCTAACTTTATTGGCATTTATTAATATATAAATATATAAATATATAGTAGATATAAACATAAATAGATAGATTATAGATTATAATAACTTTTTTTCATTGTTATCTAATACTATAAATGTATAATTATAATTTGTGATAAAATATATTTTCATAACTACTTTCTCAATCTACAATCGTTATGCTGTCGATTTTCACTATGTGTCTCACTGAGAATCAAACCCATGTGAAAGTTTAACTTGGTACCATTGAACCACACAGTCCTTGGTAACTAGATACTTATAAATTGATTGATTGGGTCATGAATTATTGTATTTTTATAGAAATTAATTATTAATTATTTGTAAATTAATTTATTAGTTATTATTTATCATATCTTATTTATATTCATCAATTAGCAATTAATGAATGAATTATACCACAAATTAAATGGGTTTCTTCTAACATTTTTCTTTAGCTATAATTATTAAAATCTTAAAATTTATTTAAAATAATATATGTATTAAGATTTTATTAATAATTTTTAGCTTTGGGGCAACAATTAGTTTTTGCTTGTAAGACACAACAAAGAATGAGAGCCACAAAAAATGGGAGAAACGGCGGCAACAAACGGGAAAGAACAAACTTAAGTGACAGAAACCGTCCGACGTACAAAATTTATGGCCAACAGCACAACAGCAAGAGCGAGAGTACGAGGAAACTCCGTCACGGAATTAACTGAGACTTGTATAGTTAGGTCAGAGATTTAAAAAAAAAAAAAAACCAAACAAACAAAATAAGCTAAATAATCCAAAACGCCAAGCTGGATAAGCCTCAAAATCCAAACCTCACCTTCGATTTCGTTTTCGTTTTCCAGAAAGAATTTTCTCATTTTTCTCTTATAGATATGGAAATTTAACTACTTCCGCTTCTGAGGAAATCCATTTGTCACTTCATATCCTTTTCCCCCCGAAAGCTCCAGCAATGGCCGCCGTTACTTCACTCTCCTTCTCGGCGATCGGTCAATCGCCGGACCGGAAGGCGTTCAATGCTTCTTCCTCCTCAGCTCGCTGCTTGTCCTCCACTTCCGATGCGTTTCGCTTCCGCACCAACTTCGCCTTCGATTCTCTCAATTTCCGCACTTCGAGTTCGGGTTCGGGCTCGCGCATGGTAGTTCACTGCATGTCCACAGGCAAGATTCAGTTTCAGAGCTAATTTTTGCATATTTAAGCTCAATTTCAATTTTTGGTTTTACCCGGAGCTAAAATATTAATGCTGAAAGATTAAAGATTGGAGTTTTGAAGAAAACATAGTACAATTTTCCTTTCAATTTTCTTTTTTTATATCTGTGATAGTTCATGGGTTACATTATCTTATTTCTTTTTGCTTTGCTAGTTAATTAGTTTGATTCTTTTAATAATTGTTACTATTATTGATCTTGTAATCAATTTCAGATGTGCCCACTGTGTCAGAGACAAAAACGAATTTCTTGAGGGCTTACAAACGCCCGATTCCTAGTGTGTATAGTACTGTGCTACAAGAACTGATAGTGCAGCAACATTTGATGAGGTACAAGAAATCATATCAATATGATCCTGTGTTTGCCCTTGGGTTTGTTACTGTATATGATAGACTCATGGAAGGTTATCCAACTGAAGAGGATAAGGAGGCCATTTTCAGGGCATATATTAAGGCACTAAATGAGGAGCCTGAGCAATATAGGTTTGTTCCATGAATCCCTTTACATTCTTATAATAGCCTGAGCAATAATGGGGTTCATCTACATTTTAGCCTTCTGAAGTACATTGGCAACTGCAAATCTGCAATCCATTTTCGATTCATAACTGTGTTGCTATCATAGAAAGATGGCATTTATAATGTTTAGTAACATTTTGCTAGAATGGCTAGGCACACTCATCAATTATGTTGTATTAATATACAATCCTTCCATCTTTTGCTTTTGCACGCACCCTATCCTGAGTTTTTGTTTTTCAGAGCTGATGCACAAAAGTTAGAAGAGTGGGCACGCGCTCAGGATGGCAATAGCCTAGTTGACTTTTCATCCAGGGAAGGAGAAGTTGAAAGCATACTAAAAGACATCTCGGAAAGGGCTGGGAGCAAAGATAGTTTTAGATACAGTCGGTTCTTTGCAATTGGACTCTTCCGCCTACTTGAGTTATCAAATGCAACTGATCCAACCATTCTAGAGAAGGTACGTTTAATAGTTTTCATTAACCATGCAATTCCATTCAATCTGTGCAATTATGCTACTTGGCAAAGCATAATTCCAGCTCAACAGCTATTATCTCTCTCTATATAATTTATATTTACGTACTTTTCTATGGTAATGAAAAACTCATTTCTTGAGCTACAGTGTTACGAAACTATGCTAATTTTACAATGTATATTGGTCTGTTTGTATTAATGTTACCAATGTAACCTTGCTTGTCCTAAGAGAGTTGATGAATTGAAAGTCTAAATTGGTGAATCTTTCTCATCTAGTGTCTGATATTCCATACTTTCTTAACAATGAGTACTGCCATTGACATGTTATTCTCGCAATAGCTTTGTGCTGCCCTGAATGTGAACAAACAAAGTGTAGACCGGGATCTTGATGTTTATCGCAACTTACTCTCTAAGCTGGTTCAGGCTAAAGAGCTATTAAAGGAATATGTGGCCAGGTGAAACTCTTTCTTGCTTCCTGACTTAACTTCTACAAGTTCTTTAATTCTTTTGGAGCTCAATTTTTCATTTTATTTTTATTTATTAATTAATGATTTTTTAATCCTTATCATCTTAAAGCATTTCCCAACACTTCGTAGAAGCCATGATTCCTTTTCCTTAATTGGAAGAGGAAAACGTTATTCTTCTGCTTCTCTCTTTGAGTAACTCCATAATGTCTGATTTTCCTACCTCTTAAAGTATAATTCCTGAATTTTCCTTTTCCTTTTCCTTTTCCTTTTCCTTTTCCTTAATGGCTTAATCGGAATCTTTCTCATCTAGTGTAGACTTTACCTAGTTAAGTGTTGTTTATCTTTGCTTGTCGTTACCTTCCAGGGAGAAGAAGAAAAGGGGAGAAAGGGAATCTCAGAAGTCTAATGAGGCTGTTACAAAATGTTTGGGGCAATACGAGAGTGTAGCTCGGTAATTCAAATATATTCCTTCTCCCCGCGTGGTCCTCGTTGACATTTTCCTGCTGTAAACTGTTTAATGTATAATAGAGTTTGGATCTCCAGAAGCTCAGGCAACCTGCAAATCTGTAATGGAATTTTAATCACAATCCTAGATGTGATTTTAGAGATCTATCCTTTAATTATTTTCCCAAATAGAAAGTTGCTGTATGTAATTTCTTCTTCAAGCAAGTGCAACTAAGAATTAATTACAAGGAACAACTTCATCTCGCATATTTATCCTATTCAAATCTTTTTCTTTTTTCATTTTTGGAAGCTTTTATAGTGTATGATGTTATTTGATCAAGTCTGAGGTCTTCAAGAAGGTGTTGTTTGCAAATAACTGATAATTATCATTTCTATATATGCAACCATCCAAGAACTGTCTCCTCAGTAGCAAGTACACTACAACTTATTACAATTAATTACAAGACTGCTAGATGAAGGCTGTTGCTATAAAGTCTAAAACGCAGCAAATCTGGTAGTTTTTATCAGCTATAAAGATTTAAAACGCACAGCAATTCTGGTAGTTTTCAAGTACTAAATAATACCAAGGCAGTAACAGCAGGAAACAACGATATTAACTGACTTGAGAAATGTCAATTTCATCTGGAATCTTGAATGTGTCTGCTGCCCCAAACTTTCTTTGTTCTTCTGAGATTGAATCTTCTTCACCACCACTATCTCCATCTTCACCTTCATGATGTGGACTCGAGGGGTCAAGTACGCTTCTGGATCTGCAATCTTGGGTGGCAAGCATCTTAACCTGGCCCAGATGAGAGATTTCTACCACGACGGTGTCATCATCTACAGGGAGGGGTTGTTTCCATGGCTCCCCATCAATCCTCATGAAGGTGTGATCAGATGCCCCCTTGTGAAACTCAAATCTGATTCTGGGTGCCTACACAGGGAGAGTAGTAAATGGGATTAGAAGGAATAAGCTCTGATTAGCCCCAATGATTTACTAGGAAATAAGATTGTGTTCCTTTCAGTGTGATGACAGAAGTTTGAAGTAGAGTTTTGCAAAATGAAGCCAAAATTATGTTAGAAATAGGGATAGGATATTGTCAATCTCAACCTGTGCAAGACGTGTCCCATGTCCATTTGGAGCAAGCAAAACCAGTCCATGCCAGGCATCTCTAAAACCAACAACTTCTATAAGCCCATCATCTACAAATGGGGGAGTCAAATCCCTCTGCACATCAGGTAAGCAAGTATTTTTATCATGGACATTACAAGCAAAAAAGAGATGGGTAAATAATAAACATGAGATTGTATTGCTAGAAAGGCCTATCATGGACCAGCAAATTATGTTCGTATAGAGTACACATACATCACGGCGTTTGTTGACATTTGGTGTTCCCCAAGGGTTTAGTCCACCTGAGAAGCTAGGTAAGTTGAGGCATACAATTGACCTGATGCTGAAAGTGGGGAAAAAGAGGAAGTATATATGTTGATCAGTCTTAGGAAGGCTTAGATATCTTTTAACTGATTCTGTAGCAGAAGACACAAAATGACGTGTTTTTCTTGGTTATTTGCATTTGGTCATACACTGCTATCTAACATTCTTCACCAATTAGAGTTAAGGAAAAAAATTAGTGCAATTTAGGCAAGAAAAGGAACTGTTGCAACTTTATTGCAAAAATTACAGATAAAAAGCAAAAGATGATTTACTATAAGATCTAGGTTTGGAAATATGAACAATAAGGTTAATTTCATTACAAACAATAAACATTTTACCTGTGTGGAATTTTGAGGTCTGTCCATTCACCCTTTTTCATGACCTTAACCTTTGCAAGCTGAGCTATGTTTCTACAGAAAAAAACTGGAATCAGCACTAATACATAATATGACAAACAATAAATTGTCATCTTATGCGGCATTGAACTTATAGGGGCATAATATATTTAAATCTAAAAAGATAATCTAAACATACTTGGAAAAATCTTAAGATCCACTTCTGAACCAGAATATTTCTGGTTTTCCATTGATAGTGTCAAACAAAAATAAAAGAACAAGGCTTAGTTTTTAAGTTTGTACTCAATACAATATCAGCAACTCTCAGCATCGAATTCATTATGCCTTCCAAAAAGAAATCTAATAAGTGCACTTATAGACTCACTTTGATGAAGGATGAAAGACTGAAGCAGCAAACCATCCTTGTGTGCATCCGAGCTTTGCATATGTTTTCTGACCAAGCCAAAAGAATATTAAGCTTAAAAGCTCCATCTTCTTACCACATTGGAAAGCATATAAAAACTCATAACATCAAAGCACAATAGAATTATGCATTGGCACCTGATTAACAAGCTGATTTTTGAATTTTTCTGGATTCTGCTTCCGTTCAGAATGAAATGCATAAGATACTTGTGCATCCATCCCTGTCAACAGGTAAAAAACCTTCCATTAAACAAGGAGAAATTCCAGGCTGCAGAACTTGGGAGGCATGAAAGATTAGACTTAACCGGCAGTGAAGTTACAGGCAGAACTAATTGCCTGCAACAAAATCTTGATATTGTTTGTGTATAGTGGCTATTCACACTTTACAGTTTAACTGGCGATCTCATTGATGTGCACACACTTTACGAACTAAAATAGGCAATTGAAACCTATAAAAGACAGGCCAAAAGTTTCCTTTAATATATCTGTTCACACTTTACATAACTTCAAGTATTAAAGGAACCAAAAAAGTCTAGATCACTTTTAGACAATTTGTACTTGCATAAATCAAGTGTCTGAAGGGCCTACAAGTTCAAGACATGCACTTATGAAAAATGTAACCAACTAAAGAATCCCAATTCCTACAGAAGCTAAGGCATAACAAAACCATTCAACATAAGTTTGCTCATTACGGCTAAGCTCTACCTATATCACTCACCATCATGTTTGACTAAATGTAATTAAACAACATGTGTACAAAGAAAAGAAATTCATTAGAGCCCCTTCAGAGTCCTGTTAAAACCACATATATGGATGGAGCTCATTGGAGCCAACCACAGATTTGGAAAACAAATAATCCATTTTCCTTTTAGCTGATACATAATATACAGCATTTCCAATTACTATCCTTGCTTACTTCATTGTTATAAAGTCATTTTCAATTACTATCCTAGTGAGCTACACTTAAAAAGTTTAATGCTGAAAAGGAAAAGAAGCTATTGTCTTTAACTTTTTCAATTGTTATCTGCAGTTAAATACTAGGGAACTACTTAACATGCATTCATAGAGCAGAGTGCTCTCATACTTGACCCCAACCAAAATACCAAATAGTAACTATAGTTGAATGATGCTGGGAAACATTAATGTAGCAAACCTAGATGAGAGAGATACTCTATAAATCAAAGACCTGTCAATGAAATGAGAAATCCAAACACCTTTAGTGGTATCATTGGCCAAGTATGAACTCACCCATGCTGAAGTAATTCCAGAATCCACCACGGAATGTGTGATACCCTTCCTGAGTAAAATTAAAAGTTTAAAATAAGAAACATTGCAAAATTTTTCCTTATTTTATTTTATTTTAAAGATAAGAAAAAGTTTGATAAGTAATATTGAAAATGGGAATGCAACCAATTATAGGTTCTCTAGTATTCTTCATCGATAAAGGCATAAAGCATTAATTTTTTTTTTTCTTTAAATGCACATCAAAGCGGTAGAAATTGATTATTGATGTTTTTATTTTATTTTATTTTATAAAATAGTACAGAGTATTTCACTATTAAACTTAAAACAGAAGTTAAGAGAATGCCAGGAATAGACAAGGAATTAAACCGGTGAGGATAAAAGGTTAATTACTAAGCAGTTAATATGAGGGTCATAGAGCTAAGCAAACCATTAACAGAGTACTAGGACGATAGAGAAACACATTTTTAGTACACTGTTGTTAAGAAATCAGATGTACTAGTAATCACAAAAAACAACTCATCTTACCACATTAAGCTCATCAGATTCAGATACCCGGTGGAATGCGTGCAAAGAGTGAGGTAATTCAAGAGGTGCAATGGGATCACAAGAACCCTGTCTTGGTGCTTTCATCCTCATCAGGATATGCCAACTACATCATATTCCAAAACTTTCAGCATCTTTCAGCTAATACTGAACTGCCAAGTTAAGTGTTAGTCTCGCTATTAACAAATAAAAGTTTTATATCACTTCAAGTTATGCTAAATTAGCTAAGGGAAATGTTTCCTGGCCCCTAAAATTAGGCTTGTTGTAAGTGAGTTGAAACATTAAATTCATAATCCATATGCTGTACTGATATGCATCTAAAGAAATTATACAATGAATATATTTATACTTTCAAAGAATGGGCTAAAGAATTACTAATTTAACAGTTTCTCAACAGTTGAGAAGTTTTAAGCTTAAGAATAAGCCAAATAATTAGTTCCAAGGTAAAAAGGTACACAACATACCTATCGCATATATGAATTTGAATTATGTCCATTTAAAAGATTTTGAGATTTCTTTACAAACTTCGACAAAAAAGAGCATTTTGAACACAAAACCTGTCCATGTTCATTTCTTTTGCATCCTTCACTTTGATCAGGAATGAGAGCACAGCCTGGGTATCTGTTCCTGGATTCTTCTTTCCCTGTAAATTAGAAACTGCACACCATATAGATTCATTGCTACAAGAAGAAAATATTTCCTCATCCATCACATAAACAGATAACACAAGGTCAGAATTTTGGCCTTATCAGCAAATAGCTCGCTTGCATGGATTGAACATAATTAATACAAGTTCTCTAGATAGCATAGAACTCAGAATAAGAGAGAAATTCCATACTCTAACAACTGGCAGGCTGATCACTGGCCACCCCACTACATCACTACAAGAGTGTTTTGGCTAATAACAATAGACAAACTTGTGCATTCAAGACAATGAACTATGATATAATTTTTACCATACCCATCCAAATGCAAACGGGAGGTTGTTTCCAGTTCCCAAAGGCATGGTAGCTATTGGTGGTGACCGAGATAGTTTGAGATCAGAAACAACTCCGAGAAGCCAGCCAGCTGTGCCATCCCCGCCTGCAACCTAGAAAACTCAATTTACATAAGATATTGCAACAGTAAAGCATACTAAGGACAAAAGCTTTCCAAATCTCAACTCACAATAATTCTCAATCTCTCTTCGAGTTTTCGACTTAAAACATCACCATTGCTCTTGAGCTTTTCTAGATTCAGATACAACCTACGCAAAACCTGATCAGGTGCTTCTTCTCCCAAATCAAAGACCTGAAATTACCAATTGCATTAGCTTAAGACCTCAACTCAAACACAAAATAGCTAACATTAATGAATTTACAAAAGCGGAGTAACTCAAAACCTGGTGCTTGTTGAGCAGAGAGCGAAAAGTGGTAAGAAGATCTCCACCCAGCTGGCCCCCACTTCTAGAATTGACGAACACTAGCACCGGGCAGGGTACATCCGGTAAACTCTCGGTCTCACCAACGACCTCAGGCACAAAGATATACGTCGGAATATAGAACTCCCTTGTGATGGGATCATCGGAGAATTTAAAACTCATCACTAAATTTCAGCCTTCAAATACATCAAAACGTCAGTACACTAAAAGCCACCCATAACAACTAAACAAATAACTTATGCATACAAAATTGAAATGCTTCATCCTCATTTCTAAGGCGATCAAGTTCCAAAAAAACAAAAAAATCATTTGCATGTTGCGCGTATTCTGAAAAAGGAAAGTGCATAATCTCGTGGGACGGACTAACATACCTGAAATGGATGTCGATTCGTGTTTTTTTACACTTTTCCGGCGCAATCAGAATCAGTATCAAAGAGTGTGAAGAGTTTCTTGGAGTATGAAATCAGATCTCGGATTCTCGGACACGAAGCGTATAACTAACCAATCCGCAATATCCGTTACTTTATTCCCAGCACATTGTTGGGCAGTGGAGAGTTGACCGGTTCGGAGATTTATTTAATGCACAGAAAATACTCTCGTTAAGAAACATATACTTCATAATTAATTCCTTTCAAAAAAAAAATATACTTCATAATTATTATTTTATAGAGAAACTTATTAACCATTAATTATTATTTTATAAAAAAATAAAAAACAATTAATTATTATGACAAAGAGGAAAATAAATTAATTAAGATAGTATACTTTGTCACGTCTTTTAAGAGAAAGTAATTAATAATTAATAATGAATTATTATGACAAAAAATGTGTAAAAACATTACTGCACAATAGTTAGTACAAACGCACCCGAAAAGAAGCTTCGTTTCCGTGTTGTTATTTCATTTGTGGTTTATTAATTTTTTAGTTTAAATTGATCAGTTATAGATAATTCAGATTAATTTATTTTTCAAAAAAAGATTAATTTATTTTTCATAATTATTTGTTAATTATAGCATATTTGTAGTAGCTATGTCTTTTTCATAAACCAAAAAGTAGTATTATATGTACACTTATTTGTTACTTTATTTTAGAGTCATCATGCACTCTATAATAACATACAAACTATAAATAAAAAACAAATAACATTAAAAATATCATGTATAACAGACTTTTACAAACTACAGAAGATAATCAAATCATATTAAGATCCTATACAACAAATACAGATCAAACTTATGTCATTTAAGTACTCCTTATAAAAATTATATTTCATCCACTTTTTTTTTTTTCTTTTGGATGCTACTGTTCATATACTTTCTCAACCTACTGAAACACAAAGAGCCAATAACGCCTCCATTGAGGCTCGAACTCACAATCTTCCAAATGGAAGTCCAACGCGGATACCATTAAACCACATAATCCTGGTATATTTCACCCACTTTACTTACTCTATAAAAATTATATTTCACCCATTTTGAGAGGTTTCAGATTCAAACTCCAATGTTTGGGCATTGACTCTTTGTGTTTTAATAAGTTGAGAAAGTATGTATGAACAGATACTACATTATAATAGAGTTAATAACATTCAAGAAAAACATTTGATTAATCTTTGTATTTTAGTAGGTTGAGAAAGTATGTATGAACAGATACTACATTATAATAGAGTCAATAGCATTCAAGAAAAACATTTGATTACAATATTGTTTCCATTTTTAATAATTGATTATCAATTTGGTTATATTTAATATTCCAAAATTTTAAAGGGAAAAATGGTCAAATAGGCCACCGAACTTTAGATGAAAAGTCAATTATCTCCTAAACTTTTTAAAGGTGTAATTACACCCATCAATAATTTATTTTAATGCAATGAAGCCCAAAAACTGATTAATGACCTACTATCACATGTCATTAGTGTTATGACCCAATCGTTATGCTTGGCATCCGTATGCACCATGCATACGGATGCCAAAACGACGTAGTTTTATTAAAAAACGCACGTCTTCCCTTTAAAAAAAATTCAGGTTCGATTCCTAGCAACAACATTATAGTTCATTCATTCTGGAATTTTAGTTCATAGATTATGGAATTATAGTTCATTGATTATGGAATTATAGTTCATCGATTATGGAATTGTAGTTCATCGATTCTGAAATTTTAGTTTATAGATTATGGAATTTTAGTTCATTCATTCTGAAATTTTTAGTTCATAGATTAGATTATGGAATTTTAGTTCATATGTTGTTGCTGGGAATCGAACCTGATTTTTTTTTTAAGGGGAGTCGCGCGTTTTATTGAAACGACGTCGTTTTTGCATCCGTATGCACCATGCATGGTGCATACGGATGCACAGCATAATTTGCCGTTCTGACCACCCTCCGACGAAATTTCAGGCAAAAAAGTGACAGGCGACCGACGAACGATTGCCGGTCTCGGGGAAAGAGATCAAAGTCGCCTTCGCCTTCTCCGTAGAGAAGGCGTGGTTGCCTTCTCCGGCTGGAAGGCGATCTAGATCGCCTTCTCCAGTTGGAAGGCGACCTGAGTCTCCTTCTCCGTGACCGGTGACCGTTCGCCGATTACCGATCACTTTTTTGCCTAAAATTTTATCGGAGGGTGGTTGGATCCCTAATGACCTGCGATAGCATGTTATTAACTGATTTTTGGACTTCATTGCATCAAAATAAATGTTGATGGGTGTAATTGCAACTTTAAAAAATTTAGGGAGCTAGTTAACTTTTCAGCTAAAGTTCGATGACCTATTTTACCTTTTTAATCAATTGAGTCTTCATAAAGTGAGTTGCATTTAATCAATTTTAAAAAAAATCAAATAAGTCTTTGATTAATTAATGACAAAATTGAAAATGATATTATAATTACACCGCAAAAAAATAAAATCAATTCATAATTAAATTGTCTCTCAATAGTAAATGATAAGATGACACTAATATCATTTTCACATTGTCTCAATTTATTCATGACATTGATTAATAAATTAAAGTTGCATTTCATTACACAATTGGGCAATTCCACCATGATTTTGACCCATCATAACAATAACAGGAATTTAATAGCATGAGGTTGGGTTCGATCCTCGCCTATGTGGATGGAGCAGACCATTTGGCCCGTCCTTTACTATTTAGTGTGTTCTGACAGTATGAATTTTTTAATTTTTTTTTTATAATAAAGAAATTCGTATTCATGATCTGAGAATATATTAACAAAAATCAAATTAGCGATTTAAGCACTCTTTTGATACAAGGGTCGTAGAATTTTCGATCTTGATATTTGATGTATGATATAATTGTTGGTTATAGCCTATAGGCAACAGAGATATTCTTGTTTTTAACACTGATCAACTATTGGTTTAAAAGGATCTCTAAGTTGATGCAATGCTGATCTGTAATAAGCAGAATCTGCAGATATGTGGATTTAGAGAGAACAGTGAAAACAAATTAAAATTTCCGACGACTATTACATAAACGTGTAAGATGAATGATTATTTTGTGCTTCAGATAAATTAAAAATCTGCAACCACGAACGTACAGTGGTGAGTGCTTCAGATCCGGCTGGAATCTCTACCAAAAGTGAATCGCCGAACCCAATCGGTGACTACCGAAATCCTTGTGCGCCAGCTTACCGATTTGCTGAAACACCATTTCAAATTCGCATAACCACATAATCACTGCGTTAGTTAAAGAATCAGAAGAAACATTAATTATATTATTACCTTGCATACACTGAATACCAAAGCCACTGGGTGCTTTGTCCTATGGAAACCCAGTCTCCGGGGAGCTGAGCCGCCGCCTGTTCTCCGCCCAGTGGAGCGAACTGCCCCAAATGTTTGTACCTAAAAGGACGGAATCTATGTTGTCCTGTCCCCCGGAACCTTATTGGACCTTCTGGGTTCTTTTCGCATATTTCCATGCGGTTGAAACAGTCTGCAAGGTAAGCACCCTGTTGAGCAGCAACCTGAAACACCAAAAAGGGAAGATTAATATATACGAGCGGATATGGACCAAAGATTGGTGTACTTTCTTGTGGTCATTTACTGGCTAGGATCATAAAGTCAGGACGATTTATGGATTGAATATAAATGTATAATTGAAGCATGTCACCCCTTACGTGTGTGGTGGGTTCCAACATCTCAAGTAAAAGTCTAAGCTGATAGTTGGATTGCACATTAATGATTATATGCTCAATGGTGTTGAATATTGACCTGTGCTGTAGCAGGAAGAGTTTTCATTTGCAGGTCGACCTCAGAGAGCAGCTTCTTAAACTTCTCGATGTTGATTTCAATGCCATCTTCTGCACTCCCCAGTAGGTCAGCAAAACCTTTCATCTGGTTCTTCTTGAGATAAATCTCTATTTGAGGATACCTTTCACTTATGTCATGAATCACTTCCTTGAAATCTTCCACTTTCAGGGTACCAGAATTGTTCTTGTCTGCCTTGCTAAAGATGGCCGCAATGTCTTCCTGCAACAAAACTTCAAACTTAAAAAGAGTTTCCTGTATATATAGTCTCCCATTGCTTCGTTTTTATTCATACATACCATGACTGTACGTTGGTTTATAGTGGCACAGTCACCTAAGGCATATATGTCTGTGCATCCTTCCACTCGAAGCCATTCGTCTGTTGCCAATACTCGCCTATTTGTCTGCACTCCAGAAACAAATGTCATGGATTAGACTAGCTAATTGGTTGAATTCAATGGAAGGAAGGAGAAGAAGGGTACGTACCTGGCCAATTTGCTTCATGAAATCTGTAACAACAGGGCGAGTTCCAATACCAGTGGACCAGACAACCATCCCATAAGGTATTGCCACTGTTTTGCCAGTGCTTTGCTCCTTGGTTGTAATCTCACGATCAGAAACCTTAACCACCATCGACCCAGTTTTGAGATTAATGCCATCTCTTTTGAACTTCTCTTCAGCAAAAGCTGTAATTCTTTTGTCAAACCTGAAGGAGGAGGAGCAAACAACAAGTTACTGATATATATATATATATAGTTCTCTGATCTTATGATAATTAACAGTTAACCCAGTTAATCAAAGTTTTGCTTACATGTTAAGAATATTATCCCCGGCCTCGAGGAGTGTTATATTGACATACTCTTTGAGATGTGGGTACAGCTTGAACAAATCCTCTGTCACCAAGTCATGAAGCTCTGCGGCGAACTCAACTCCGGCAGGGCCACCTCCGACAACTACAAAGTTCAAAAGCCTCTTCTTCTCCTCCTCGGGAACACTGGGAAGGTTTGCTCTTTCAAAGCAATCTATCACATTCCTCCTGATCTTCTTGGCATCTTCTATTTCCTGAATCCAAGCAACATGGATGTTATGGTGAACAGATTTCAAAAGACGACCACCTTAAAAAACATAATACCTTCAAGAAGTGCGCATGCTCCACAACACCTGGGGTGTTGAACGTGTTGGAACGAGCACCCATGGCGATCACTAAGTAGTCATAATCTACTGAAAATTCTTCCGCAGAACGACCCAAACTGGACTCCTGCGATGAACGGCAATGCACTTTCTTCTTGTCTGTGTCAATCTTGTAACATTCGGCTTCCTTGAACTGGACGTCAAACTTTTTCTATTATTGTGCACAGAAAGAATCAAGAACACAAAAGTTAGAACATCCAACGACTAACTAACAACTCATTATTATTCACCGGATCGGAGAACCCAGAACTTACCCCTCTGACAATTTTGCGTATTGGCTCCACAACGCTGCGCGCCTCAACCGTACCCACGGTGACACTGGGCAACAGCGGAGTGAAAACGAAGAAGTTCCGAGGAGACACGATCTGAACATCATAGGACGGATCCTTCAACGTTTTCAGAAAGCTCATGCCTGCCCAACCTGTTCCCAAGACTACAACTTTCTTCCTCTTCACCTCACCCTCACCCGCATCCGCATATGCAGTGCCCAGTAGATTCGTCTGCGTCGATGCCGCTAGACCTCCACCGCTGCATAACCAAAAACAGTCCCATAATTCAACCCAAAAAAAAAAAAAAAAACAGTTTTTGCAGATCATTTGTTACGTCTAAGGGAAAGAATCTGAACCAAATAGCGAATGGGGATTGAGAAAACACCTGATGGTGACGATTACGAGTGCTTTGGGGAGAAAGGGGTAGCGGCGGAAAGCCGCGGAGGCTCTCTGGAAAAAACTGCTGCCGGCGTTCATGGCGAGTTAATCCTCTGTAAATGTGTGTTCAAACAGTTAGTTATAAGGAATATATAAAGAGATGAAATGATGTTAAAAATGGAAAGTTTTAGGCAGAAGTGTTTTTAGTTAATTCCCTAATATTTTTGTGGAGTAACTGTCTGTGAAGAGTAATTTTCTCAGGGGTTGACTTGTCAAACGAGAAGAAACAGGACAGGTGTCATTAGTGGGGTGGTTTGAATTTGCGTTATTGTGGGAAGACTAGCTTTGCAAGGACTGGACACTCCGCTCTGTTTGTTCGCCAATGTCAGACGTGAGATTCGGGCTTCGGAGATACTTAATTAATAATTTCCTAAACTATTCGAAATTGTTTTTGAAAAGCTATCAATTTTCTCTTTTTAATTTTAAACTTAGTAATTTTTTCCACCAAATATATTTTCTATGGGTAAATATCATAAATTGTATCAGTCTGATTTATTATTAGTTTTTTAAATGTCTGCAATTTCTTAAAAAATACTTGTCAAGAACAGTTTTTTCTAAAATGATTCTTGAAATTTTTAATTTCATGTCAATTGCTTATTCAAAAAGATTTTTAAGTTATATTAAAAAAAAAAAAAAAAACTTAATTCATCGGCTTTTTAGGGACGCTAATCTTATTTTACAAACCCCAATCAATATTGATTTATCTTATTTTACAAACCCCAATCAATATTGGATTTTGATCTTATATAGTTAAGAATGGGTATAGAAGCTTGGGTGAGATATCATTACCCCATAATATTGTATCTGTATGAAATAATGTTTGGCATTATTTAACTAGATGTTTGGAAGCTTTAACTCATTATTTAACTAAAGATGTAAGTGCGATTTCAACACGATCATGAGGGATGATTCTCCTCCTTTGTTAACATTTCTTTAAAAAAATTTGCATACATGTTGATCTTGCTCACTTTTCGCCCCTAAGCTATCATCCATTTTCCTTTAAAAAATCATATTTCTCATTTGTTGCATAATTGTAGAAGTACATTTCTATTTACTATTAATATTGTGTATATATCAAAAAATTTCATCATCTATGTAATTACAGTGTAATATTGTTCAAATAATTTATTGAATCATTTATCATTTCAAATGTTAAGACTTAAAAATCATTTTAACGCAATAATAGCTATTCATGTTTGAGAAAATAGGAAAAGAATATTATGTTAAACAAATTTTTTTCCTTCTAGCTCCTTTATTTCTATTATTTGCTTTATAAAAATTATGTGTTGTTTTAATATTTTAATGGCTAATTTTAAACAAATTAGCAGGGTATTAGTTGCGATTGCGGTGTAATGCAGGTCATATTTAATTGTAAAATATTCAAAATTTTGCACAAGCAGAGAAGATATAAAACTTCCAAACAAATTTCATGATTCATCATTATTCAAAAATAAGTATTACAAGTGTACATATCCAATTGGGTATGCACATCTTTACACTACTAATGCAGAACAGCATAAATTTTACAATTCTTTCTACATCCTCACAAAATATTCGATCACTTCCAAAACAATCTCTTTCAATAATAATCTTCATAATGAACATGATGTTGTGCTGTTATTTAACTCCATTCCAGTAGAACATCCGAAGGTAGGAGGTGATGGACAACACTCAATATATGAGTTTATCAGTTGCAATCACCAAAATTAAACCTTTTGGGTTAATCACATAGTATAAACTCAGTTCAATACAAAAAAATTTCTTGAAAGCTTACACTATAGATTAAATGCCTCAGAAAATCCACCATGATCATCTGGAATGTAGCTTCCCCAAGGAGGTTCCCCCTGCAATGCAGGGACTTGGCTCCACTACACCTCATTAATACGGATTAAAGCATCACAGGCAATGAATTATAGATTATACATGCAACCAAAAAGATATGTTGTGCTATGATTTAACTCCAATCCCAGTCAGATTGCCAGAGAGAAGCTGATAAACAGCACTTAAATTTCTGAGTTTGTCAGACCCTACACCCACTAAAAGGCAGAGGAAGAGTATAGTTAAAACTCAAAATCAAGAAACAAAGATAAATATCATAAACTTATGATGATGTAAGAAAACAATAGGCTCAGATAAAACAACAGCTCTATCAATCAAGGATATTCAGAAGCAGAACTGGCGTTTGAAAGCTGAACTGTTATCATCAATGCCACAAATTAACAAATAAAGAGGATACTTGTGCATATTGAAACAAAAAATAAATAAAAAATTCCAGGCTCATATTAAGAAATTCAACCATTTATTTGTTCTTGCTTCATCGATTGCTCTCAGAAGCGCGGATAAATCCATTTTAATCATCGCCAAGACCTTTAAACATAAAAATAATAGCAGATGAGTTCAAAAGTGCAGATCCAATTTGGAAACGTAGAAACTATAGCAGACGTACTTAGGAGTAAATCAGTAACATTAAATGAATACCCCACGTAACATCGGCGATGAATTTTTGCCTCCATGACTAGCCACTGCTTTCATTGACGATTAGAAAGGAAGCTAAAGGTGAGGAGAGGCAAACAATGGAACAATTGAAAAAAAATCGAGAAAATTCAAATCAAAGACGAATATTTCAAGAACAAGCAAGTGTAGCCGTTGAATTGACACAGATCAGCCATGGAAAAAGAGGTACAAAGGGCTAAGCTGCAACACTAGCGGCGAGATTAATTTAGCACGAGCATTGGGGCTTCTTCTTCTTCACATTGATCTCAGACGAGCCCGGGAGGCTACGTGCAGAACTAGATAAGTACAAACAAATACACAATGAGAGATAAACACAGAAATTTGGATATATATTCATGTTTGAGTATCAAGGTCTACAGAGATTGATGTGTAAGTAACGAGAGGGTTTTGGTTTATATAGAAAAGGAATGAGCTTCTAAAACCCTAATTTGCGTTTTTGGGTTACAGAAGGAGACGGCTGAGTTAAGCCAATCGTTATCCCTTCCGACCCATAGGCTAATAATTCGAGGTCCATCTTTTCTTTTTTTTTTTTTGAAACAAATAGAACTTTCATTAAATTAAATCCGCAAGAAGTTCGTTAACAATAAAAACCGGAGGGATAGTAACCCACTCCTGACATACAGACAAAGAACAGGCTTTCTTAGCAAGGTTATGGGCAACACTGTTCGCAGTACGATTAACATACGAGATAGCAACGTCGGTAAGAGAACGAAGCATATCTTTAATATCAAGCAACACTAAATCGCATGATGACACATCTTGATCACGATTGAGATTGTGGACAATCTGCAAAGCATCACATTCAACCTGCACTTTGTGGAGGTCCATTCTCTTGATCCAGCTCAATGCTTCCCTAATGGCCAAAGCCTCAGCCTCCTTTGGTGAAGAAACTCCCACGCCTGGAATGCTTGATGCCGCCAAGAATTGCCCGCTATGATCTCTCAACACCCAGCCAAACCCCACTCGGTTGTGGGTAATGTTAACAGCAGCGTCGGTGTTCAGCTTCAAATTACCTAGCCGTGGTTTCTCCCACTTGTGAATCACTGGTAAACTTATGCATGGGTTACTGGAATCTTGCTCCCAAGCTGAGTTCCAATCTGCTAGGAAATATTTGGTTCCCTCAACAAGGCATCTGCTAGATGTGTTTTTGTTGTTCCATATCTTGTCGTTCCTTGCAAGCCATATTTTCCAGCAGATCAAGAAAAGGAGACGACATTGATCTTTATCAAGCATGGTAACGAGGATATCAACCCAAAGCTCGAAGGAAGAGGTGGCATTAGTGAGAACTGGTAGGCCAATTAGATCCCAGCATTCCTTCGCGAACCTGCAGTCAATAAATAAATGGGTGGTGGTTTCCTCCGCTGATTGGCACAGAGAACATTGAGTTTGACACTCTACCCTTCTGGAACGAAGACGATCGGCAGTTGGAAGGCTCCCAGAACAGGCTTGCCATACAAACACCTTGACCTTCCTTGGTAAATTAAGCTTCCACATGGTAGACCATTTCTTTTTTTGAATAGGATCATGCTGAGTAGATATTGCCTTGTAACAACCCTTAACAGAGAAGGTACCATTATGATCATCATTCCAAATGAGTCTGTCTGTTCTCGCAGCCAGAGGAAGAGGAATACTGAGAATCAAGTTTGCATCCCTTTCCCCGAAAATATCTCGGATAACTTCAGCATCCCAACTGGACGAATCCTCCCTAATTAGTGTAGAAACTGGTGCGTTCTCAAGCATGGGAAAAGGTGGAGACTGCACCGTAGCATCAGATAAACATGGTAGCCATTTGTCCCCCCAAATTCGGACAGACCTACCATCGCCAATTCTCCACCTACTATGGTTGCGAATAATGTCCAGAGAGTCGACAATGCTGCTCCATATATAAGACGGATTTCCCCCTTTCTTTGCCTCCAATATAGAACAATTAGGGAAGTATCTAGCTTTGTACACCCTTGCCACCAAAGAGGATGGATTTTGAAACATTCTCCAGGATTGTTTGGTGATCATGGCCAAGTTGAAGTCCCTCATGTTCCTAAAATTGAGGCCACCCCAATCTTTTGGAGTGGTGAGATGCTTCCACTCCTTCCAATTAATACCTCGTCTGCCATTGCATTCACCCCGCCACCAGAAAGAGTTCATGGTTCGTTCAAGATCTCTAATCAGCTCTTTGGGCAGAAGAAAAAGACTCATTGCATGCAGAGGGACGGCTTGGATTACATTCTTCAGTAAGACCTCCCTTCCTGCTCTAGATAGGAACCTGTTCGTCCAACTCTTCATCCTAGTGAGAATGCGGTCCTTAATAAAGCTTAGAATCCTCCTTTTGTTCCGCCCTACGATAGAGGGAAGACCAAGATAATTTCCAACTGCACCATCATTGCTAACCTGCAGAATATTTTTAACAAGATCTCTCATGTTGCTGCTAACATTGGCACTAAATGAAACAGCAGACTTCTCATAATTGATGATCTGCCCAGATGCTTTGCCGTAATAATCCAGAGTCTCCTTTAAAGCCATACTTTCCCGCTGATCATATTTGATGAAGAAGAAACTATCATCAGCGAAAAAGAGGTGTGAAATCCTCGGTGCCTCCCTAGCAATAGCAATTCCATGAATAACACCACGTGTCTCCAGATTTCTCATCATTGCACTTAGCCCTTCCGCAAGGAGAATAAATAAGTATGGAGAAAGAGGGTCCCCTTGACGGAGTCCCCTTTTGGGCGTGATATGAGCTACTTCCTCCCCTTCTTGAAGCACACTATAAGAGACAGTAGAGATGCATTGATGAACCAAATTAACCCATTTTGCGTCAAAGCCCAATTTGAGTAATAAAGCCTCTAAAAAAGGCCATTCCACTCTATCGTAAGCTTTTGAGATATCCACCTTGATTGCAGCAAACCCCTCTCTCCCTTGTGTTTTCCTTCTCAAAAAGTGTTGGGTCTCAAACGCCAACATAATATTATCACTAATCAATCTTTGAGGGACAAAAGCGCACTGATTTTCCGAGATCAAAGAGTTAAGCAGCGGCTTCAGACGGTTGGCAATGACTTTAGATATGATTTTATAGGAGACGTTGCAAAGAGCAATAGGCCTCAAGTCCCCCATCATCTGTGGGTTGTTCTTCTTAGGGATGAGGACTATGTGCGTATGGTTGATCCCTTGTGGCAGAAGACCTGAACTAAAGAAGGAGTTGCATAGATAAACCAAATCATTACCAATGATATCCCAATAAGCCTGATAGAAACCCGGATTAAAGCCATCCGGTCCCGGAGACTTATCTTGATGCATGCTAAACACGGCAAGCTTGACTTCATCATGAGACACTCTGCGTAATAGGGCCTTCAGCGTTTATTGTTGCATCTATTTTTTGTCATTTAGTTATTTTTTGAAACAAGGTAATATCCTATTCAATTAACATGTAAATATAAAATTTTAATTTTTTTCAAGATAATAATAAAATATAATTTAGGATATAACTATGTAATTTCTTCAAAAATAAAAACAAAGTCCCATTCACTTTTTTATTATTATTTTTTTTTATTTTCCCAACTATATATATCCCCTATACTTATATTTGGGAGTTGCCATTTACCCTTAAAAAATGGCACTCCTTGTTTACCATTGATTTCAAATTTAATGAATGAAAATTTTTTATCTAATTTTTGATTTATTTTTTCATTTTAATTGCCCTCAATTTTTAAAGAAATAACAACTTTATCATTACTTTTTTTTTTTTATATCTTCTCCCTCTTTGCATTGATGTGATCTTTGTCTTCTTTTTTTCTCCAACATTCCAACACTCCATTCTTTTTTCTTTTTTTTTTTTTTAACATTTAAAAAAAAAAAAAAAAAAAAAACCACTACATTATTCTAGCTAACATCTTCATTATCTCCCTCAAAACCAAATCTAATGTCCTCCCGCATGTTCCTAATTCAATTCTTGTATATCATGTTGGTATCTAAATAACTTATTTATGTATTCTTATTTATTTTGTCATATAACAATTATTAAAAATTATATATATTATTTAAAAATTAGAACATACTCGTTTTAAAAATAAAAAATAAAAAATTAGAACATAATAATTGATTGTTGGGCATGACGTTTCGCGCAAAGCGCGTGCCCTCGACTAGTGTATATATATAGGACCATTTGCCATTATCCGAAACGGGGATTTATCCAGCGAAAAGCTAAAAGAAAGAAAATGTTTGCCATTATAGAATTTACTGTTTGATCTGCACTCCAGATTGAACTGAAGAAAGCCATAATATCCAGAGCAAGTAACGGAACAAAAACTAAGGAAAGAAACTGAATTACAGAGCAAAATTTAATTATGCTGGAAATATCCATGCCAGACTCATAAAAACTTCAGCAATCCTAAGAGACTGTACAAGCCAAAAGGTAAGTATACTTGATTCAAGGAAAGTTTGCTAGGTTGTCTTGTCAAACGATCATCCAAGTCAAATGGTTGTCTTGTCAAACGATCATCCAAGTCAAATGGTTGTCTTGTCAAACGATCATCCAAGTCAAATGGTTGTCTTGTCAAACGATCATCCAAGTCAAATGCCGATATCCAGCCCAACTTGCAGCAAGTCGCATACCGATTGCCAATGCAACGCATAGCAGAGGAAATGGAGCCCTTATAACTTCGTTGGTGGCTTCGACTTCCTTCCCATCTGCAGGTTCCCTCGAGTGTTGAACAATAGCCAGAGAGGTATATGAAATCATTACTAGTGCTTGAATCCACGGCTCTCCAACTGCAGCTAATACAGCTGCAACTGGCAATGCGGAAGACACATAATCTCTCTTTTTAACCCACCGACCAAAGCTAAACAAGCCTAGCAGAACTGTCCAAAAGAAAAGCTCGGAAATGTAACCTTTTGCAGCAACAAATCCAATAAAACCAGCGACTGTCAGAAGATAAGGCTGGCTGTTCACGGAATCTGGAACAGTCGCCTCGGCAATAGCAAGTATTAAAGATGCCAAAATGATCATTTTTGTTAGCTCTTGAATAGGAGCCTGTTTGATTACCCCTGAGTAGAAAGTTCGAATGATGTGAAGTATTGTCTCAACAAATCTAAGGGAGGCAGTGACTGGATGTAATATGTAGTAGAGGACATTGGCCAAAGCAAATTTCATCATAGTTCCTATAAACCGGAAGAAACCCATCACAATCCCTTTCCAAATGGACAGCTCCCACAAGACAGCCCTCCAGGCATAGAGAAGGAAGGCCAATACTGCAAATTGTTGACAATAATCAGGACATACATTATGGCTACATGACAATAATGACAAGTGCAATATACTGCTTTGCAGGGTAGTATAAATTTAGCCAAAAGAATGTATGGTGTAACTTGTAAGCCATCGCAAACTACAACCCAAAAGTCGAAAGTCACTTGTCAAGAAGCACTAGCATAAGAAGGAACACATAGACTGTCATGTCAGGGGATGTATGTACTATGTACATAAAAAACTGTAGTGCTTCGGGGTTTAATACAAAATGTAAAAGCAGAGAGGCAGAAAACAGACAAGTGTTTCAACAAATTCATGGTCACTTGACTATACAAAGTTTAGTTCTAAAACTACATAAATTTAGCTTGATCATGATAGTCTACAGCATTTCTCTAAAGCAATAATTATGATTCAAAGAATCATCAATACCTGAAATAAAGAGAGGCCACATCATGACCGTATTTTCTAAGGCTTGCAAAGAAAGGTAATGTAGAAAAAAGTAAAAAACACCTCATAACATCTAACTTCTTCTGAAGTAACGCATACCTTGACTGCATCACCTTCCTTACAAAGTATGACCTTGGAAGATGCACTCCTTAGTAATGACCACTATCTCATATGTTCTAAAGAAGTTTTTTTGCACACATCATTACCAAATACTCCCACCATCTTCAATCTGGTAACACACTCCCACCTAATTAAATAATCTCTCTTCACATTTGGAGTTTGGACAACCATGTAACTGTATATACTAAATTATGCAGTAGTCTCCTATTTCTGCCCATCAAATTGATTCAGCAATAGAAATACGAAATGAAGACGTGTATCTCAATTCCAGAGGCATGGTTTACTAAGAGATCCCAGAACCCAGATTATGATTTATAAGTCTCATAGCATTATCACATTCTCAACAAAATCCTGAAAAGACACCAACCTAGGGCTTATTACTACAGAGAGGTTTATAAAATATCCTACCAACATTAGTACGTTGAGAAACAAAAAAGAAACTCATTGTAGTCCCAACAACATTAGTTCCACCTATAGCACTTTTGGCTAAAGTACATTACAGCCAGAAACTTGCCAAAAACCTCCAATAACAAATTCTCTTTATTATCACAGCGCTTAGCACAGCCAGCATCAACAGATAAATATACTAGTTTCAATAACTTACTAGGACAAAAAGCAGATTGATTCATAATCTACTTGTAATATTTTCTGATATAGCAAGGTCACCTCACTTCTTCACACTGATTGATTCTCTCTGTGGTAAACACTAATTACTCCCATGGTACTTTTCTCTTTGATTTTAGCTTAATCAACTGTGTGTAAATCTAATACAGAAAAGCCTAATCAACTAGGAAATAACCCATTACTCAAAAACCTTCACCTCCTCTTCCATAGAGAATTAAATTACAAGCACATTTCAGGATTAACACCAAAATATAATCAAACTAGCAAAGCACCACTGTTGGTAAAATACAGTATCAGAAAGCATTTAATGATTTAATTTTTTGAGTACCTATTAAAAAAGGCCACCTCACAGGCTTATCAGGAGCTTCCTTTGTCAAAGACCTGAACCTCTCCGGCATAGAGCTCTCTCCGCGCGACTCAATCTCAACTTCATTCGCCACATTTTGTGTCCCTTCTCCCCCGTTTTCAGCTTTAGCCAAAAAGCCATGATTCTTAGTCACTGAAAGTCCAAGATTCGTTGAGAGAAGGCCAGGAAATTTGTGCGCATTTCTAAGTCTCAATATGCTTGTTCTGGGTTGAAAAGAGTCAAATGGAGCTTGGTTACTGTGATGAGGCCGATTGAACAGTGGGGGATGTGAGGAGAGTTTTATGGGGTTTTTGAAAAATATGTTCGGAGATCGGAATGTTGAGAGGGTAATCGACATGGCTTCGGATAATCCTGGGGTTCTAGGAGGACGGGCACTAGGGTTTTGGGTAATCCTACACCCCCGTGGTTTCAACTTGCCAACCCGACCCTGGTTTTGGGTGAATTTAGATTTATTTATTCGTTTATTGGGGAGAAGTCTCAATGAATTTTTTCTAATTTTTTTTAGTACTACTAATGGCTAGAATTCACTATCTTTTATTTGGAAGAATCACCTTATATCACTTGATCACAAGGTCTTTTGACTAATAATTAGTAGTCTAAACTTTTAAAAACGAAAAAAGACAAAGAAATTAAAAGGGAAAAAAAAAAAATTCCCCAATTACATATTACATATCTCTAAAAACACCCTCATTAGTAAGAGCTTTTTTAGTTTATAAAGGTCCATGTAGAAGAGAAAAACAAGGGAATAAAAAAAAAGGAAAATTAGTTTTTGAAAAAAAATTGGGTTACCCGTTCGGCTAGGCACATCTAGTGCGCAATGCAATAAAATTTTATTTACTTTAATTTTTTTTTGTGGACCCCATCCTTATAAAAGGAAACTTGAAGGTCGTTAACTTCATTTTTCCAGTTTTCCTTCATCATTTCTCCAATTTTCCATTTCTCTAGTTTTCTAATTTTCATTTCATATTTCTCCAGTTTTTTATTTTTCTAATTTCTCTGATTTCATTAAATACAATCATTCCATATATCATTTGTGCATTTCTACAACAACAACAACAATAATAATAACAACAACAACAACAACTCTGTGTACACGAGGAGAAGGGGAAAGGAAAAAATATAATAATAATAATAATAATAATAATAATAATGTTTTAAAAAAAAAGAATGATAATAATAATAACAAAAGTAAAGAAAAGGAGAAGAACGAAAGAAAGTAAAGAAAAGGAAATGAAATGAAATAAGAGCATCCTTATCAGTTGAGGTTATTTCTCAGTTATTTGTAGGTCTCAGTCTCCACCTCACCCTCCACCATCTCATTTAATCACAAAAAAACTATTCTCCACATCAGTTTTGAGTTATTTCTCAATTTTTTATAGACTCACCATTTAATCCACTATATTTTAATTATTTTTTTTACCTATTGGGCTCACAAATATACCATACTTTGCGGGAGAAATATTTTTGAAATAACTCCTCCCCACATCAGCTATTAACTTTGGGTGGAGAGAATTCATGTAGAAATAACTCTTAAATAACTATTACATCTCGTTTGGTTCGCTGGAAAATATTTGAAGGGAAATGGAATTGAAATTCCATGGAAAATAAATTCTAAGAAAACAGATTCCATTGTTTGGTTGGTGGAAAAGAAATTACTGGGAATATGAATTCCATTATTTGGTTGAGTTTGGAATGGTAAAGAATAATGAGTATAATGACAAATATAACCCTACACAACAATAATAATATAATAATAATAAGAGTAATTAATAAAGAATAATGATGGTAAAATTGTCATATTAGTTTTCCATGGAAAACAAAATACCTAGCATAAGCTAGGAATTTGTTTTCCTTGTTCTTAAGGAAAACATTTTCCAATGGAAAATGTTTTCCATCCAACCAAACAACATAAAACATCATTTTCCTTCACTTTTAGGAAAACATTTTCCATGGAAAATGTTTTCCATCCAACCAAACACCTCCTTAGTGTGGATGCTTTGAGTCAGATGTGTACAATAGGAATCAAACAACATACCTCCCGCCACCAAAGCACTATTCAATGTTCACCCCTGTCATCTCTCACTCTTTCATTTAGAGAAATTCAAATTGAAATTTTCCAAAAGTATACATAGAGTTGGAAAATGGAGAGAAGTTAGATAATTGGAGAGATGATTTTAGTAAACAAGTTTTTCATTTTTCATTCTTCTACCTCTCCAATTTTTTATTTTTTTTTTCAGAAAATCATCCATTCTTTCATTTGGGTAAATGATCCCTTGATTTCTCTCTCTCATATGCTATCTCTTATCCACTCCATGCTTGGCCCCACAAAAAAACCCATCTAAAAACCACAAATGGTGGTGCAATAATCCCTAGACTATCATTAGAGCAACCGATTAGAGCCAGCTGACCACATGCCCACCTAACAATGTTAAGGGAAAATCGACCCCATTTGGGACCGATGCTGCCCCACGCATTCATGGTCAGCCACATCATGGGCAACAGTTTGGCGTGAAGCGCCATGCGTGGCATGAGTGTGGCTGCAGTGGGGTGTTCTAGCGTTGGCATCCTCTCAATTCGTTGCCTCCAAATAATTCTCACCTAACATAATTTACTACTCTAACCTAAGAGCAACATCAATATGTATAGTTTTTGTTAAGTTTTTTGAGGTGCTAACTATGAGAGATAGAGAGAGAGATGAGGGGAAGGAAAAAAAAAAAGGAGAAAAAGAAAAAGAAAAAAATAATAATTCAAATTTTTTTAAAAGAAAAGGTTAATATTACATGCCCCGCGCCTACCGGACGCGATTGTTGCGCTCAACTCGCGTTTTGATGGCTTTGTTTTCTCCCTACGAATGAGCCCACTAAAAAACACTTATTGCAGTAATAAAAATTCACCAAAAACCTTGTCCTCCATTTATTGAAAAATCTTTTCACCGAAATTTGGACTACAAAAATCACCTAAAATCTACTATTGTAGATATTCTAATATGGCACCACCCCGACCCCATCAATTGTTATTATTATTACATTAATTATTATTACATTAATTACATTATTATACTTGAAATAGTTGGCAAATCACAATTTGATGTGTTTTCTATAAATCTATCATTAGTTATTTATTAATTTTTTTTTATCATTTTACCGTTTTAAAAATATGATTAACATGTAATTAATTTTATTATTCAAACATCTATCTTATCTTAACATGTAATTTTTTGTTCTCTCGTGTAAATTATTATTATAATTAAATAATAAAATTATATGTTAGTTATATTTATTACCTGATAGAATAATAAATTTTTAAAAATAGATTAATTGTGAGTTGTGAAAACTGACAAGTAAATACGGAGTACAAATTAAGAATGTAATTTAGCAAAATTAAAATAATAAAATTATATATGACAGTCTCTCATTGTTAATGATTAAAAATAGAATTTGTTCTATGTAATTTTTTTTTTTTTTTTTTTTTTTTTTTTTTTTTTTTTGGGATATGTAACTATTCATTTGAAATACAGTGTAGATAAAGGAATAATATTAAATATATATTTTTAAAGAAATATATCCTCTAGTTGAATCATACGGTGATCAACTACATTGTTAAAATGAAAATTGTTGATACATTTTCAAAACATCTATTTCCTATGATCTCTGATCATCATCCTCGAAGCTCAGATTCCCAAACAAACTAACCCTAATCATAGCTGATGCCGAGAGTAATCTCAACAATATCGTCGTCATTATCCTCCTCCGAGCATTTCACTTTCCTCAGCGACAGCAATTCTCCGCCTACATGGGCAGCTCTGATTGGAGGGTTCTTCTTAGTTGTCGCTCTCACCCTCTCTTCTCTCCTCCTTTTCGATCACCTCTCTACTTACAAAAAGCCAGAGGTTCAGTATTTAATAAAAAATTGGATGTTTTAAAGACAGATATATATATTTTTAATCTTGTTATGACTTTGTTGTTCTTCTCGTTTCTTCTTGGCTGTGTATGGTTTATTCTGACAGGAGCAGAAGTTTTTGATTGGAGTGGTACTGATGGTTCCGTTCTATGCTTTTGAATCAGTGAGTCTTATTAACCTTGAAATGAGGTTTTCTTTTCGGTGAATCAGTTTATGAAGATGGCATTTTTAGCGGTATGCAGAGGATTCCAGATTTTATAGATGCCCGGTAATGGCTTGGGGAATGGTGGGCTGTGGGGAAAAAAAAAATCTAAGTATATGGAAATGAGCTTGCTTTAGTTGTCTAACATGTTGGCAGCTGATTAAAGTCTTTCATGGCAAACTTACATGTTTGTCCAAAGCTGAGAAAGTGATAACATGTAGCCTGGGATAATAGATAGGTTAACTAGCTCCAGTTAGTTCTGTGTAAATTTCACATATTGGGCTAGTGACTTGTAGCTTCAGTTTATGAGTTTGCAGTCCAGTTTATGAGTTTGCAGTCTAGTTTTATACGGAGTAATTTTATTGAAAAAAAAAACTGAAATCTTTTTGGGTCTATGTCTTGCTTCAAAATTATTCAACTTGCTTATTATTGCCAGCATTATATTCTTGCCAGCTTCAAAATTATGTGCCCTTTTAGGTTTTTGATATGCTTGTAGGTGCACATATTTAAATACGTTTATAGTATTTTGCCAATAACAAGTACTCCTGGAGTATGGTGCTGTGTATTTCACAACACAGATATTTACAATTAACATAACAAGTTGCTATAATTCACAAGTTTACAGATGTTCAATTAATACACTGTATGAATTTGGATATGATACTCAAAAATAGGTAGAGAAACAGAAACAACCACCTCATTATTATTCTTGAATGCAATACAGAGTTGATTCTATCTCATCATGGACTTTCTCCCTAAATCCAAACTTTTGTTGTTAAAATTTATAAAACACAATGCATCCTTGCCCATCACAGAAAAACTGTTGCTTCTTTCTCTTCTAATTTTTTTTTTTTTCTAAATATTTATATTCCTAAAATTCTCTGGGATTGAATGTAGCAGTCTATTCCTTGAACAAATATGCAAAATTATATGACTTGCTACATTTTGTTTTTATTATTATACATTGAGTACTCCTTCTCTACACAGTTGGATTGTTGATTTGTGGTGTCAATCTGGTTGGAGATTCTGCTAGAAGCATCTGGTCTGTCATTTTAGGCTTTAAAACTTACTTTGACAAATTTCTTGAATTTTCATCTCATGAGTATACTTCTGTGGTTTTCTTGTTCAGTTTTTGTCCTTGTTGAATCCAGCAATCAGTGTTTACATCGAGATATTACGTGATGGCTATGAGTCCTTTGCTATGTACTGCTTTGGAAGATATCTTATTGCCTGTTTAGGTACATACATTACATTTGGTTCTTAATTCTTAATTTGATTTTACATTTTACCATTCACTCAATTTTAGGTTTAGCAGAGTAGGCTAGGTAA